TACTCTGAACGCCCCCTGGGGGGCGGTACTGCCCACGTTGAGCACCGCTAATTTAAAACCTTTTCATTTCTTGTTTAGTTTTCAGTACCACCAGCAGAGGGCAGTAATTTCATCCCTGTTTAGCTGCTATGACCTTATCTGACATAGAAAGAACTCTGCAGAACTTTTCACTGAGGTTCCACAGTAAGGAGCATATAGCCTCCATCATTCTAATAAAATAATTATAAAATCCTAACAATACCTTCATCCTCCTGATATTGCATAAATGTGATTAATATTTAAATCTTGAAAGATGTTTGAGATCAGAGATGGAGTGGGACGAAGCTCAGTCGGTTCTGGATCGGACCAGTGTTTGGAAGACGAGTCAAACACGGAGACCACAGACATGTCAGGGACAACAAATGGTTTTAGTTAGAAACAAAAATAAGAAAACAGGTAAAAACTAGTTCTTCTACAGCGACGGTGTTTTCTGGAGTTTCACTGAATTCCAACCAGAGTAAAAGCAGAATGTTCATCCTCAATATTAGCAACTATGAAGTCACCACACACATTACTACTAAGGTCTAGAAACACAACATGGCTCGGCTGACATGGTGGCTTCTGGCAAGACACACAATATTATTATTATTATTAATATAGGCACTAAACTCTGGAACATGCAATATGGTGGCTGGTTACTGTAGATTGTGCTGGGTCGAGTCCTGTGGAGTGGGTCCAATCAGAGAGGAACGTTTCTGGGGTGGCGTGCAGCCGATGGGTTCGCTGCTCTGAGCAGGTGGCGGCGCGGACGCAGAGGCCGGGCTACGCTAAAGGGGCTCACAGCGAGCCGGGTTACTGGATCCAGAACTAAGAGGGACTGGGAGGTTCAGGTCAGAGAGTCACAGAACCCTAACAGGTCACAGTTAATCTGTTTACTTCCTGAAGACGTGTTGGTTTCTGCGTGATGATTCTACAGCATAACCCCTCAGAGACACTCTGAAGGCCCACACACTTCATCCAAGAGCCAAAATCAGCTCTCACTGATGTAGACGCCTGACGAAATTTGTCATCTTGTTCGCAAAGATGTCTACCTCCTTCTCAACGTCCTCCAAGGCCGTCCTGCAGCTTTCAGAGGCTTCCCTGCTCCAGCACACCTGAATCCAATGATTGGCTGGTTACCAGGCCTGTTCAGAGCTGATCCCGGTCTGTTGGAGTGACGATATATCTAAAAGTTGCAGGACGGTAACTCTGGAGGATGGGACTTTAGCACTCCTGGGTTACACAAAGTGTTATTTTGTCAAATGTTGACACTACGCATGGCGTGAATGAACAGGAAGCAGAGGGTATAAACTAGCATGGACCCACATCTCAGAAAAAATAGTCCTCCACTTTGTGCTGTAGGTCTGGACTTTTTCCTCCAGGTTTCGTACCTCTGGTAAAACACAGACCAAACTGTGGATGGGAAAGTTTGTTGCTTCCATCTCTCGCATTAACTCTTTTTCGGAAGAGCGAAAAATCACCTCATGCGAGTGTAAAAAGTTGTTTGTGAAATTGAGGAAGTTATTTTGAATTTTACCATTTCCATCAACTTTTTCTAATGCGACACTTCAAAATGGGCATGAAAAAATAGTGATGGAAACAGAGAGTGGCATCTCACAATGTCTGTTTTTAGTCTGCAGGTGTTAGAAGTTCCTGGTGAACTTGGTGCAGTCGGAGTAACAGAAATTGAGATGATTGAACTGAAGGTGTCGCTGGGTGTCCTTAGCGGTGAGACTGGTCAGACACCAAACATTTCCTTCTGAAACCATCAACGGTTTTGTTAAGAACACCTGAAACAACGTGTGGATTCAGCGGTAAAGGTGGCAAGGAATCTCAGTGTAACGTGTGCCTGGGCCATCGGCAACAAGAACTGATCAAACCAAGACATCATGACTGCAGCTCAGAAAGCATCCTGACACCTCCGAACTGTGACTCTCAGATCTGAAGGGAAAAGCCCACAGTTCTGTCCTCTCTGCACACCCAGATCCATCGGAACCACCTTTCCTGGTTAGACCTGGACTGTGAACCTGAGCCAGGATGGCCTCTGCAAACGCGGGCCCCGGTTGAAGGCCTGCAGGGTCTCTGAGCGACATGCAGGGGGTTGATTGTATAAAGTTGAGATGTGCAAACTGTTCCAGACATCTGACGTAAAGACACATTTAGAATGGGTCCTTTCCCACACATTCATTATCAAAAGAACTCAAATAAAGCTACTGTAGGCATGGGTTTGGTTTGATATCAAAAGTGCTTACGGTAGAAACAAAATTTGAGAGAGACATACAAGTTCATGAAGACCAGTTTAGGAAAAATCCTGGAAGAACTGGCTGAACTGGAAATGTTGAAACACCAATGAGCAGCTTTTCTTATCGGCCGGATTCATCAGATCCTAAATCAGCTGAGAGGAACCATGAACTCCTCAAGCTGTTAAAGTCCTTCTGAATCAGGCCGTCAGAGTCGGGGTTCCAGCTGGTTCCAGATTCATGACGTGTCTGAGGAAATCTGGAAGATGACTGAGAACTTTAACACTTTTGATCTCAGGCAAAATAGCGAGAGGCAAGAGTAAGCACAAGAACTGAGAACACTAAAAGAAAGCCTCTGCTTTTTAGGGTTTCATGGAAAACTTTGAAAAATAAAGATGAGAAATTTTTAAGAAACCAATTTAAGGTGCAAACCGCCATGCCGCATTGCCTCGTAGACTTTCAGTCAAGGACTGGTTTGAGGAAAGGACTGTCAGTCAACGTGGGCCATGTTAGAGTCAGGGCTGTTGGTAATATTACTTCTTAAAGCTGTATAACAAAGACAAAACAATCAACTACTAAATAAAAAACAGGTTATATTCCGGAAGCAACATTTTATCAGAGTAATGTGTTGTTAAGCGACGGTTTTTAGTTCCAAACTACTCCCCACCTCCATATGGAGACTAACAAGATGCAACAGCTGCCTTTAGATTATATACACACGCTCTTTTTCTTGTTTTTCCTTGTCATTTGTTTTGTTCTAGAAAAAGACTCTATTCGTTCCCCTCTCAATCCGTCCTTCAGCGCCGAACTGGCTGTACCTTCTACAACTTCACAAAGTCTCCAGACAGAATCCAACAGTAGAAGCTGTGACGGTTCTTCCAGCTTCTGTTTGAAAACAGAGTGAGGTCCATACTGCTCCGTCTGGGGTTGACTCAGTCTGTAAGGTCACCAATCTGCTTGCCTTTCACCTGACCAACCAATCAGCTGACTCTTTCACTGACAGCAGTTCGTGACTCTACAGTTTCCTCACAGCTGGGACGGGGAACGGTGGACTGTGGGACAATGTCTCTGAGCTCCTTGCTGTCACCTGCTGCCTCTGGCTCCACCCTCAGTCGAGCCCTACCGTCTGCTCCAGGCACAAGACTGGACCCTGCTACTCCAGGAGGTCCAGGTGGCACAGAGCTAGAAGGTCTTGATGTGCTGTTTGACCCTCTTTCACCTTCTAAAACTTCTCTGGTATCTGATGCTGAGAGCAGCTCTCCTCTTCCCTCCATCCTGATGCCCTCTATACTGGCGTCTCTTCTTGGGAACTGGCTCTCTAGGGGAGGCCGTGTGGTACTCAGGTCCTGTGGCTGTTCACTCTGGTTCTGTTGAGTAGGGATGAGATTTGGATGGGCGTGGCTGGATGATAACGGTCTGTGAGAAACAAGGTTCTGCGCATGTAGCCTTGTGTGTTGAGAGAGGGACTGGGGATGCAACTGGGTTTGAAAGCTTTGAAAGTGTGGATGTGTTTGGGATTGGGGAATGGGTGGCCTAGGCCGGGTGGGAGATTGACTGGGTGGGGCTCTATGCGGATTTGGGACATGGTGTTGCAAGGTCTGTCTCATACGGGTTTGAGGCAGGACATGAAGGCCAGATTGCAAGTGAGGATGAGGTTGAGCTGGAACCCTTGTCTGCAGTTGGCTTTGATTTTGTGTTGGAATCCTTGTCTGATGTTGACTCTGGACTTGTGTTGGTGTTCTAGTCTGGAGTTGACTCTGGACTTGTGTTGGTGTTCTAGTCTGGAGTTGACTCTGGACTTGTGTTGGAGTCTTGGTCTGGAGTTGACTTTGAATCTGGGTAGGTAATCTGTCTTGGGATTGAGACTGTGGTTGCAGCTCGATTCTTGCCTGTGATTGAGACTGAATTTTGGGTGGTGTCTTGGTTTGGGATTGTGACTGAGATTGTGTTTGAATTCTTGGCTGGGATTGGAGTTGGAGCTGAACTGAGGTCTGAGGGTGGGATTGTTTAATCTGAGATTGGATATGAGGCAAATGTCTAGGCTGGATTTGAGGCTGGAGTGCTGTGGAGGACTGGACCTGTGATTGTGAATGCCTAGTTTGAGATGGCTGAGCATACAGAATAGGTGGGGACTTAGGTGGAGCATGTACAATCTGATGGTGGCTTTGGTGCTGGGCTGTGGTGAGTGACTGGGCTGACTGGTTGGTAGACAATGGCTGACTGAGGGTTTGGATTTGGGGTTGTTGGGACCGTGGCTCAGGCAGTAAATGTCTGGTGGGGGATGACTGGGATACTTGCAGAATATGGGCTTGTGATGGACTGGGTAACGAGGTATGAGGACAGGAACGGGGCTGGTGGTGTGGTGGAGAAACAGGTTGCAGAGATTCAGGAGGGGGCTGAGGCACAGACTTTTGGTGTGGTTTGGGAGGAACCTTTTTTTCAGGGGCTTGATGAGGCACAGTCTGGGGATCAGCTTCAGGCCTGGGTTGGCTAGGAGGTGATTCAGAAACTGCCAGAGGAGGAGCTGGGTGATCTAAAGGTGAGCCAGAGGACTGTTGGTGGCGGTGGTGATGGTGGTGGTGGTGATGGTGTTTATGAGGTTGTCGTTCCTTCCTTTTGTGGCTTTTTGAAGGGATGATGCTACTACTGCTGCTACTCCTTCCACCCCCTCCTTCATCTTCACCAACATCCTTGCCTTTGCTTCCTTCATCTCCAGATTCTCTTTTTTCCTTGTGCTTCTGGCACTTATGTGACTTGTGTCCATGGGATTGGCTCTCATCTGAAGCAGAGGGTTGCTTCTCTGATTGGCTTCCTACAGTGGATGTAGGCTTTGGGTCAGAGCTTGGACCTCCCTCCGCTTCTCCTCCCTTTTTCTGTGCTGCACTGGTGCTTCCAGTCTCAGCAGGTGTAACCAGTAGAGCCTGAACACTCTCCATCTCTTCCACAGTTTCTCTTGTTTTGCGCTTTTTGATTGGCAGAGCTGTTTCCTGGACAACAGGTTTAGTGGAAGACTCCTTAGCTGCTCTCCGTTTGGCTTCAGCCACCATAATGGCAGCTGCAGTGTAGCTTCCAGCTGTTGAGCTACCAGAGGCTGTGGTTGAAGACGTGGATGCAGCAGTGACTGATGATGGTGCAGAGGTTGATCCTGGTTTCCTTCCTCGTTTTTTGGGAGCGGCCTTGGGTGGAGGTGGAAGTTCCTGTTCTGATTTTCTCTTTCTACCTGGCCGGGACTTGGGCACTGCGGTAGGAGACACCACCTACAGAGGAAAAACCATATCAGCAGAAGCATGAGTTTCGATACTGTTATGGTCAAAGACACAGTTGCACAGAGTGAACTTACAGCTCAACCTTTAAAGCTGAAGTTTTATCTTAAATGTAAAAATGTCCAGGTGAGGGACTGAGCAACCGTCCTACCTTTGATGTGGTTCCAGGGGAGGACTCGGCCTTGCCAAAAGGCATTTTAACCAGCAGTTTTCCTGGGGTTTTCTCAACCACTCGCTTCATGGCCACACCCTCAGTGGCCTGACGCATTTTTCCACTGCCTACACAAATACAAGAGATGAACACAGAAGAACTGCAGAACCACTTATGAAATCCTGTCCTTGATTTAATGACTCATCGGCAACTTCTGCTATCCCGGCCTCTGTACCTTTGGGCCGCCCTCGGCCTCGTCCTGATGGTTTCACCACTTTTGTTTTTTTGGGAGGGCGCTTTTCACGACGGGATGGGCTTCCGCGCCCCGTGACAGTAAAATCAAAATCATTGGGATCGGTCTGTTTGTCACCAATCTTCTCAAAGTAGGCAATGAGTTCCACCTTTGAACGAAATGCCTTTCCCTCCGAGCTTTACAGAACAAAAACAGCTAAATGTTAATGGCATTCATTTGAGATTGTATTCTTAAGCACCAAAGGGAACCATCAACATGTTGATCATGACTTACTTGATCAGGTAGACGTCAAACTTCCCTGCGGATCGTCCAGACTTTCTCTGTTTCAGTTTGCGGGTCCAGCCTTCAGGCAGCGACGGGTCATCGTACATTGGCCCTCGGTCCCGAATGATGGAGCGGCGTTGCCTGGGAGAGCCTGCCGACTCAGACCCTTGGTCTGAGGGTCCCGCCACTGGCTCCACCACCTAAAGGGGGGGAGGATAAGTAAACATTTCTGCACATCATTCTGGCTGTTACCTCTCCAGCTCTCCATGTGTCCTGTACCTGGCTCTGTGGCTGTTCACTAACTGCTGAAGGGGTGGTTGAGGCCGCAGACTCGGGCCCCTGGTCACCATGACGGCGCTCCCTGTGTGGCTTCTTTGTCTTACTGTGTGACCTGTCTCTCTGTCTGGTTGAGGGTTGGGGGTCTCCCTCTTCACCTTCTTGTCCCGCCTCCCTGGGAAAAATATGACCCTCTGTTAATGCTGCATCTCTCAATGACAGCAAACTGTCCAACAGCAACAAGTCTTCATGTGTAGCACTGGTGGTTTTACCAGCTAGTGCTAACTGAAAGCGTTTGCTGACAGTTTTACATGGGAGTTCTGTCCGAAAAGCTACATGACTATGACGATGGTCCACCTGCCTGTAGACCAGCAGTGTTAATACCGACAGTGTTATCAGTGTCAGTTTCTCTACTTCTTTTCTGCTGGGTTTAGATAGAAAACCTTATAACCAATTTGAATAATGAATTGAATTTGATGTTCTACTATGGTATGTAGAAGGGATGCTTTTGTTTAAGTGGCCTTAGGCAACATTTGCTTTAAATCTGTGATATAAAAACAAACTGAAGTGATTGGATAGAAACCTCTGAATATTAAGAAAAACTGATTTCTCTCATTATTCTGACATCAAATAGAAATATTGTTTTTAATCCTGACAGGAAGGATCATCTGATCAGTGATCGGCTGGTTGAGTCTTCCCGTTTATAAACACATCCATCATCAGCGTCAGAGACAGACGTGTCCATGCAGTACTCAGTTTCACATCGCGATTGCTTCGTGTTAAAGTTCTACGGATCTGTCCCTTCAGAATGAACAGAACAGACCAGAATAATAATAATGTGAATAAAAGTTGTTTCTGAATCAGTTATTGAAGGTCCAAACCTGGTTCTGTGTGTAAAGTAATCACACCCTGACCCAGATTCCCATGGCTGAGTCTCAGAACTTTGACCCGCTTTGCTTTGGACGTCATGCAGGTCCAGAAGCAACACAGCAGCCCACAGCATCACACTACCTCTGCCGTGTTTGATGTTCTGGTTGTTTTCCTCCAGATGGAACCGGACCAACATCCGGCCCGCCTCATCCGCATTGGCCAACAGAACATTTCTCCACATAGTTCCTGACCTCTGACCTCAGCTGAGGCCGTGAGCTGAGGTGGTTCTGGTTCTGGTGGGTCACCTTGCTGGAACGTTCTGCTTCAGGCGCTGGTCATGGTTCTGACTTGGTTCTGTTGTTCTTAGAAAGCTTTAACCAGCAGAATGAACTGGACCGGGCCACTTCAGAACCGGGGTGTTTGTGGTTGGACGGAACGGGCCAGGGTCGGTTCTGACCCGGTTCTGTCTGACTGATCTGAACTCTGCTTGTTGTTTGCCGCCGTAGGTTGAAACAGGAAGTGAGCAGCTCACACATTGAAACCACAGACGGGCGCGCGCGCTCGTGTCCGCGCACGCTGCTGCTCAGCGGCACTCCGGTAGCGGCTGCAGCTATCTGCCTGCTAGCGCTGAGGAACCGGGGGCGTGGGGTAGTTAACCCGGGTTATTGAGGAGCGCGTGCATGTGCGCGTGTTCGCCAGCAGCTAGCCCGTTAGCTGTGACGGAGCGGCAGCCCCGCAGCCGCCGCCGCGCTCCTCCCGGCTCGCCGCCGCCGCTCGGCCCGTCCTGCGCGGCTCCTCCCCGGGCAGCGCGGAGCCCGCCGCGGGCCTACGGAGCTCCGGCAATGGGGCTCCGAGGAGCCTCGCTCCGGGATCACTGTGTGACGTTATTGCCGCTAACCCCGCTCCGCGGAGACGGCCCGGGGTGAAAATCTGCGCACTTTGCGTCATAAAGCTGTGCGGAGGAAACAGCGGCGCTAAACTGAACGGGAAGCCGCGGGAAGAGAGGATGGAAGAGGAAAACACTTACAGTCTGTCCGCTCCGCGCTCCGCGGCGGCCATTTTTATTTAAATAAATAAATTTATATTAAAAAACTCCAAACATCTCCGCCGTCCTCCGTCAGCAGCGAAACACCGCGAGATCTCAACCCACAGCAGCCAAGACAAACAACCAGGGGCGGCGTAATTCCGCGAGATCTTAGCCTGGTGACGTCAAGCTGAGGCTTTCAGGGACCTCTCTGAAAATCTTCCGCCGCTTCCTTCAGAAGTTTGAACGGAGGATCTTTTCTTTCTCCTCCCGCCTCTCCATCAGCAGATCCTCCTCCATCACCTTCGGCTCGGCTGAACTACTTTGTTAAATATTTCTGATCACTCAAATATCCCTTCAAATCAAATAAGAGAAATTCGCCATGATCTATCGAAACATTGCTAAGTTTCGATATAACTCCTTGCTGTTTTAAGCGTGATGCTTAGCCCGTGCCATATTTGTTTCTCCTAAAATGGTTTTTGCACAAAAACTACTAATTTCAAGATACGTTCTGAAAACTGTAATATTTATTGTCAAATTTACTTCCCTGACTTGCTTATTATTATTACTATTGAAACTTTATTTGCAGACCATACGTTCGTTGTTGCACTAATGAAAACCAAAACATCAAAACCATAATAAGATAAAAACATTTGTAATCTAACAAAATAAAAGTAAACAAAAAATAATTACATAAAACAATGGAAAATATTACAGTTACCATTATTAAAACGTTGTTGGCAGTGTTTATGTCTGTAGTTACATTAATACACATATAGTATAACAAAAAATAAATAATTCAAAATGTAAAACTTATAACTACTTCCGTTATTTTGCTGCAGTACCAGGTTGAAGCAGCAGGTGGCAGAGTGACTCAGTGGTGCAGCTGGTAGAACTGGTGATGCCTTGCAGTAAGAAGGTTCTGGGTTCTAATCCCAGCCTGGGGTCTTCCTGGAGGTTCTTCTGATGCATGTGTGGGTTCTCTGTGGGCACTCTGGCTTCCTCCCAGTCCAGAAACAGGACCGCCTGTCCTGTTTCTGGACTGGACAGGTGGTCCTTGGACCTGTTGGTCAACTGAAGATGGTTTACCAGGAAGAATGGGATAGAAACCCTTGGAGCTCCTCATGGCCTGGTGGCCCTGCAGGCAGGAAATGGCTCAGGAGACATTCTGCTAATCAGTTTCCTGTTGGGTCAGAATTTTCTGGGTCAGAGATTCTATTAGACTGGTTCTGAAAGTCAAACACCCCGCAGGACGAGGAACTGGGGCTGATGCTCATTTACATTAAGACCACTCATCCTGTGTGTGTGTGTGTGTGTGTGTGTGTGTGTGTGTGTGTGTGTGTGTGTGTGTGTGCGTGTGTGTGTGTTCAGGCGGCTCTGAAACCAGAACCACACAGAGGAAGCGGCTACAGACCAGAAGTCCTCACATGATCATATCTACATTCGGCATATTTTTCTAGGTTTCTTTTGGACCCAGTCAGAACCACAGAACCTGGCCCGGTCCTGCAGGGCTCAGAGAACCAGAACCCAGTTCCAGAGAGGCAGCATTCCCATTGGGAGTCCTGGTTCTGGTTCAGACACTAAATCTCTGTTGAGGTCCTCACAAAGACGGCAGAGTGGGCGTGTCTTCTGACAGGACATGAGTCACTTCCATAGTCTATGAGTCACTTCAGTCAAACACAACAGGAAGTCTTCATGCAGCACTTCCTGTGAATAAAATAAAAGCCCCACAATCTCAGCAGGAGGTCCAAATCAGAGGTGGCGGTTCTGTTCCAACCCAAACCCAGCAGAGGGAGCAAGTCCAGATTCACCGGCTTTCCAAACAGAACCACAGTCTGATGCAGATGGTCAGAACCAAACACATAGAACCCAGCAGAAACCAGCCCAGAACCGGGACTTGAGATCGGGTCCTGTTTGTTCAGCTGAGGTTCTGAACCCATCCCAAAGTCCATGACTGATGGTTCTGTTTCTATTGGAGATGAAAAAGCAGCAGGATCTCACAGAAGTTCTGTTGATTCTCCTTCCTGTGGTTCTGACCCGGTTACTGCTGTTCCACATGTTCTATCTATTTTACAGTTATTTTAAAGGGCCAGTATCGTGTTTTCCAGGCACATAGCATCATTTTATATCACAGTCCAGTAACTGTGTTACCTTCAGTTGTTATAAAAATCCTCTATCAAACGTTACTTAAAACAAGTTTGACATTGTAATTTAACGCCTTGAAATTGGGGATCTGTCCCTTTAAGAACTGCTCTTTCTGAAGTTCCGCCTCCAGGAAGTCATCCCAACATGGCTCCTCTGTTAACCCTTTAAACCAGTGTTCCTCTGAGCATCAGTTTCTATAGTGTGCTCAGCAGATGTCTGCTAATTGCTGCTGGCTAGTTTGAAGGAGGGGAGTCGCGGAGGACAGCTGCTCTGTGAGGCGGAAGCTCTGATACTGCAGCTCAGAGGAGAAGCTGCGTCTCGAAGGCGGGGCTATGTCCACCCAGGCGTTTTGCAGCTGAATGGTTGCCATGGAGATTAAAGGATTTCTCAAACATGAAAACATCCCAGGTCTGATTTGAAGAGGGAATAAAAATAAAACATGATGGAAAGCTCAGACACGTCAATTTTACATGATACTCTCCCTTTAATGTTATTCACAACTTCCGGATCAGAACCATCCGGTCCAGATTGTTCACAGAACTTTGCAATATCCTTCCAGTTACTAAGGTCAAAGGTCAGATAGTTTCATTTTGCAGCTGTATGTCTGGGCGGGACCGGAACATGCTGTTTGGACCTGTGCAGGTGGGTTTTACAGCAGGGGCGATTCTAGGATCTGACCTTTAGGGGTCTTAGACCCATGAGAAGATATTCATTGGTGCGGTTTTCTAATCTCACTGCTTATTTACATGCATTCACAAACTAAATTAAGAGACATGTTGTCAGTAATTCATAGAATAAAAGAACAATGTTTATTTTACTCAAACATATACTTATAAAGAGTAAAATCAGAGAAACTTTTAATTTTTTCCAGAGGTGTATAAACTCAGTTTGAAACAGAATCAGATTACATCATGTCTGCCAACATGTGCTGACATTAATGAGACAAAGGCTGAGACAAGAGCGACACAGTCCTCGGAGGGTCTGCTGCCCCGGAAATGAAAATAAAATCTACTCCAAACTATGCATTTCCACTCATTTGAAGAACATTTTACTAAATTCATAGGATTAATAAACCTAAAACCAGTTTATTATCAAGGTAGAAGTTCAGGTTAATGACTAGTGAAAATGAGTCATTAACCTGAACTTTATCATAATTTGTATAACCCTTTTATTACCCTTTTATCTGAACATTATGCAGCTGTTGGCCTTTTTCCTTTAAACAAGAATGTTTGTCCAGCTATGGAAAAGTGGACATTATGAGTCAGAGTTTCACTATTTCAGTTCACAGATCATGAAGTGAGTTTGTGGTGGTTTCAGTATAAAACACCTTTCTATTCACAGACAGCCTGACGCTAATCATAAAAATGATCAGAATCGTTTCGATCAAATAAAAACATTGTACTCTTTATTCAGAAATGCCCCAAAACAATTAAATAATCACATCAAAAGTTAGAAACTCTGTCTTTAGTCATTTCTTTGATTACCAAATATATTAATGTGTGAGAAAATGTGTCAATGACAGGAATTAATTTTAAATACTTTGTAGAACGGCACTTTGTGAAGTTCGGTCCATTTACCTGTATTAGCTTACTGGCACATTGGCCACATTCAATATGGCGGACGCTGTGACGTATCGCAGCAACGGGCCGACCCGCTTTATGAGGTACGTGTTCATGTCTATGCCCGCCACGACAATTTAGCTGACCTTAATATTTCCTGTGTTTTATTTTGGTCATAATTGTTAAACTTAGTGTTGATATTGTTAAGAAAAAAAATTAAAATATGCTAGTTTTAAAACTTAACATGTCTTGATTCAAATGGCCTAATTGTGGTTTTAAAATCAGTAACGTATTCTGGCTTTTTGACCTTTAGGTTACCTGTAGTTACAGCAGATGGTTTGCTAGAATCGTTTGTCTGTGTGGGAAACAATCAGGAGAAGTTCCAGTTTTCACACTCACCTGTGAAAAGACGTAAACACAGCAGGAGTTCCTGGCTTGAGAGAGGGTCAGAGATAGCTCCTGGTTGGATGAGCAAAGATACGCCTTATTTGAATAAATTAAAGATAAGAATACGCCTTTTACTATAAAACTTTCTACACAGAAGTAAGAAATCAGATTTGCTCTTGCAATTCTCCAAAGACGTCTTTGCTTTTCTTTCTTTCTTTCCTTCTTCTTCTTTCCATTTATGTCAGGTAAACGAATGTATGTCTGTTCTGCGGTTTCTGTTGTAATTTTATGCGTTGTCTTCTATTGGATTAAACTGCAATTCTGTGACGTCAACACGCATTGCTGTTTTCTTCTGAGTGACTACACGCGGCCGCCGCGAGAGGACCCGGGATCATAAAGGAAGAGAGAGCCAAACTTTTTCTAAAATTAACTAATTCATAAAAATCTTCCTTAACAATATGTGTGTGATAAGCGTGTCTATCAGACAATTATGTATCGGTTCAATACCGGACGCACATTTCACGGCCAAATATTACCATTATTAAGCATATTTGACTGCTTATAAATATGGGACGACTCCGTATTTTACGGGATGGGTGGCAACCCTATTCAGGGGTGCTGAGAAAGGCCACTGTTTTACGGTACTGGGTTCTACCTGTTCGAACCAGTAGATGTTACTTCCACCTGCGCAGGTGCAGAGCAGGCTTTTATTGTGACACGTCACACCGGACGCGGCTCTTGGTGTCTGGCGCTTGTGAGCACTGTGAACGGAAGTTGCCGCAGATCAGAAGTTCTGAAGTTGGTCAGTCCGGAGAGTTATCAGGCTGGTTCTGATGTGACCCGGTCCGGCTCGGTTCGGTCAGAAACATGTCAGAGGGAGACCCGCGGGCTTACTTCCTGTTCCAGCTGCCCCCCTCGGTCCACTGCGAGTTCTGCCGGATCATGGATGGACTGCTGGACCTGGACTGGACCCGGTTCGGTGAGTAACATACTCAGAACCATTCGAACAGCTGGAGGCGGCACCGAAACCATCGGACTTATCGGGTTTTACACCTGAGTCACGTGTTGAAGGGTCGTAGTGACGCTACAGGTTGAGTCACGTGATCATTTGGGTCCTGGCGTTCAGGTGAGGTTCCGTTAGCAGGGCGTGGTTCTGTCTGGAGGTTCTGGTCGGTTCGGTAGCAGCGCCAGTAAAAACTAACTACGTCCCTCTTTAAATGATTGGAGTGGACAGAGTTTTTCCTTAACATGTGGCTCTGGTGCCGGGTTTGGGTCAGAACTGTAGAACCCGGGTCCTGATGAGAGGAACATGGAACTGAATCAGATTCAAAGTTTCAGAACTTTCTGATCCACCTTTGATCCCCAACAGCAGCAGGACCAAACTGGGTCAGAACCAGCCAGGAGGATAAACACACTGTCCATTAAGACCAGAACCAGGTTGACCCAGCAGGAGGTTCTGTAGAAACATCACTAGCAGTGACGGGTTGGTACCTAGAGAGATCCAACTTATGGTTTTGAAGGTTTTTCATTGTGTAACTGGGATGGTCCAACAGAACTGCCTGGGTTCTGAATCTCTACAGCAAACCCAATAAGATCTGAGTCGGCTTCGGCCTCTACCAGGTGTATTTCGCTCCTCATTGTTTTGGTTCTAACAGAACCAAAGATCTGTTTGAGAACAGTCTCAGAACCAGCTTCAGGTTTTATCAACAGAACTGCAGAACCTTCTCAGAGTGACCTGGCAGTTCTGGTTCTGTTGACAGTTGATGCTCAGCTGTCCTCAAGCTGGGTCAGAACCGGTTCTGGAACTAAAACTGAGGATAGTCAGGTCTTTGCTGAGTAGCAGGAACTTAAAGAAGTTGGTCTAAATAATGTCATTAATGTTAGTAATGATGTTATTAATGTTAACATTAATAACATTATTATTATTAATAATAATGATTAATAATAACATTATTACTAATGTTATTATTATTAATAATTAATTATTATGAATAATAATTAATTATTATTAATAATTAATTATTTATTAATTATTATTAATAATAATTAATTATTATTCATAAGTTCTATTACAACTTATTAATAACAACTTATTAATAAGTTAGTATTAAAAAGTTAATACCAACTTATTAATGTTAGTGATGATGTTATTAATGTTAGTAACGATGATAATCTGTGGAGTAAGGTTATGGTTCAGCCCTTGGATTAAAACAGTGAATAAAACAGGAAGTTTAATCTGAAGCCGGACTCATCCTGTGAACCTCTGTTAGAATCAGACTGATTTTTGTGATATTTTCATTTTATTTGTTCGAATCAAACTAATAAAATCATAAAAAATGTCAGAGATTACAGAGGAATCTGACCCAGATAATCAGGACAGGCTTTGTTTTTCATCAGAACACCAAATATTATTCTAACTCTACTGTTAATAATAGTAAATCTTTTCTGCAGATGGAACAGGCTGGCGTCTTTGATTCTTTTCTATTTATCATTTTTCATGTTCTCCATTTGTTGACAGCAAGTGATTGTTGCTCCAACAACAAACGACTGCATGGAAAACGATGCTTTGCTACGTGTCTTTCTGTCTACAACAGTAAAATAATTCTGGGGGTTATCTCAACACAGAGGAGATTCTTCTTTTTCTGGAGCCAGTTTGTTACATTTTATTGTTAAATTTGATATAAATGTGTTTTTATTATGATTAACTATGATTATTTTTTTGGTTCCCTCAGCCATTTAGGACTCTACATGCTGAGGGAAGTAAAGAAAGTTTAGGATTTTGAGGACGTTTTTAAATTGAGGAAGGAGTTGGACAGGTAAAGTTGGACAGGAAATGTTGGACACGTAAAGGGTCTTCATACACCATGATGTTGGTTCTGGTTGTTCTTAGTGTATGCTGATTATTTTTGACACTTGAAACTAACAGTGAGCTAAAGTTGTAAAGGGGAACCATCTGCTCCAGCCGTGACATGAGAACCTGAAGCGGAACCACAAGGAACTGAAAGTGTCCTACCAACAATCTGCTCTTGAACTCATCTCAACATGAACCTGAGGAGTCCATCCATCCGATGGATGGACACCATCAGGATGCAGGTAGCAGCAAGTAGAGAAAAAGAAGGAAGGGACCACCAAGCATGGAGCCTTGGGGAACTCTGCAGGAAAGAGAAAAAAGAAGCAGGCCCGGCAGCATGGGCGGGCCTGCTGCCTGCTGGCGTCCATGCTGCGAGTTAACGCTGACTCTGTGGCCATTGTCCACCCACAGAGTCAGCCATGCCCCCCTGGACTGGAAGCTGTTTGTTGTTTTTACCTCAGAATGGCCATCTCTCTGTTATTCCTATATCGGTTTGATACAGTAGGGGCTTCCGCACTTCCCATATCTGTGCCTTCTGTCACTTTTTTCTGCAGTTAAAACTAGGGATGTTCCAATCAGGTTTTTTGCTGCTGATTCGGATACCGATCACCCACGGACCTTACCAAGCCCCGCCCAGAAACGCCCCCTAAAATCCCACGTGGCTGCATGTCTCACAAACAAAGCCTCGCGGAGCTTAGGTTCTATGTGTAAACATGGCGTCTTTCGTTTCGACTGACTCTCTGCAGAGTATTTCTGAGTCGATTCATGTACATTTCTGCCGGATTTTCACAAAATATCAGCCACGACAATGGACAGGGGAACCAACAAGGTCATATCATCTTTTTTGGACGACATCAAGGTGTTTGAGCCACGCGATGCCTCCAACATTGTGCGCGTCGCAGCAAAATGTTACCGGTAGACGAGGAAAACAGCAGATCCTCACACCCTCAGCATAAATATAGCTGTGGACAAGATCACTGATTCCTATTGTTCGTGCAAGGCTGGGTAAGTCGGCATTCATGGTTTTGAGGGTTACTTTTGGAATCACTGATTTCTGTTGTTGGCAAATGTTTGAGTGTGCCTAGGCCTGTTACTCGGTACTTGGTGCTAGCGTGGCTAACACGATTACAGTTTCGTAAACAGCATTTTTAGGTAAAATAAAATCTTTAATGCATGTCAGATACGGTACACATTGCATATTGATCTGTTCAGCTAACGTAAGACCGTGTAACAGACAGGCTTCAAGGTGTAGAAGTTGTATCGGTACTGCCGTTATGCTGTACTTAGCTAAAAGGTTTTCATAATGGATGTGTTAATTACTGACTTTCTTTTTTTAATTCACTAAACACACAGAAAGCAAAGCA